AGGAGTCATAAACAAAGCTCCCACAATTCGCAACCAGTTCGTATAATCAATGCTATCCATGGTCGACCCGAGCCTAGTGAAGAGCCAGATGAGCTGCTACGAGTGCGCCTGCGGCAGGCGCAGATGAAGAAAAGGGTCGGCAATGTGACCACTCTACACCAACAGAGCCCGTCAATGCAGATAAAGTTCGACTGGACAGACCTGCAGCGTGTCCAACTGCCTCATGACGACCCGTTGGTAGTCAGTTTGACAGTGGCAGAGTGCTTGGTGCGCAGAGTTCTGATCGATCCTGGGAGCAGTGCGAATGTTATGCCGAGGGACACGTTTGACAGGCTCGACATTAAACCAGAGAGGCTCAAGCCCACCGGAAATCCCTTATTAGGGTTCGATGGGAAGAGGGTGGAACCCGTCGGGATGGTGGAAGTAGAAGTTCAAGCTGCAGAGCGAGCTCTTATGGAAACTTTTGTGGTTGTGGAAATTCACCCCTCGTATAATCTCCTGATGGGAAGAGGATGGATTCACAGAGTCCGAGGTGTACCCTCAACTCTGCATCAGGTCATGAGGTGCCTCGGGCCCGATGGAGATAAAGTGATAGACATTCGGGGGGATCAGGTCGCAGCCAAAGAGTGTTATTCCGTCACACTAAAGCATGCAGGGAAGGGAAAGGCGCCCGTCCGGTCGACAAGCCCCAGATAGCAATTACAGGAACCTCCACTCGAGCAGAATAGGGTGGAGGAGTCAGCCGACTTGACCGAGGAGCCCCTTCTAGATGTGCAGATCGATCAGTCCAGGCCAGAACGAACTACCAGAGTGGGTATAAGACTGACCAGAGAAGAGCAGCAAGAGCTAGTGGATTTCTTATCCCACAATGTCGACGTATTTGCATGGAGTCATCTCGACATGCCTGGAATTAGTCCTTCCGTCTCCTGTCATTCCCTGAATGTCAATCCTAATTTCAAACCAGTGAAACAGAAGCAGCGAAGATTTGCTCCAGAACGTAATCAGATCATAACGGAAGAAGTTGATAGGCTGCTTGATGCGGGATTTATCAGAGAGGTGCACTACCCTGAGTGGTTGTCCAACGTCGTTGTGGTGCAGAAGAAAAATGGGAAATGGCGCGTATGCATTGATTTCACCAATTTAAACAAAGCCTGCCCGAAGGACAGTTTCCCGTTGCCTAAGATTGATCAAATGGTGGATGCCACCACGGGGTATGAGCGTTTAACCTTTCTGGACGCATATTCAGGTTATAATCAGATTCCTATGGACCCCGCAGATGAAGAAAAAACTTCTTTTGTCACCGAGCGAGGAACGTACTGCTACAAGGTTATGCCTTTTGGATTAAAGAATGCGGGAGCAACTTATCAACGACTTGTCAGCAAAGTTTTTAAGAATCAAATGGGTAAGATTGTCGAAGCCTACATTGATGACATGGTGGTGAAAAGTAGGAAAAAGGATGATCATCTGAGGCATCTGCAAGAGGTATTTGATGTACTAAAGCGATATGGGATGAGGCTCAATCCGACCAAGTGCTCGTTCGGTGTAAGTTCCGGGCAGTTTCTGGGACACGTGGTCAACCGCAGGGGCATCGAAGTTAGCCCCGCTCAAGCAGAGGCTTTGATTAAGAATGCCGAGCCAAAGACGATCAGAGAGGTGCAAGCCCTAACAGGACGAATAGCTGCATTAAGTCGATTTATTTCAAAGTTGTCAGACCACTGCAAACCATTCTTTGACACGATTCGGAGCCATGGAAGGCAAGTCTGGGGGGATGAGCAACGACAGGCATTGACTCATTTGAAGCAATATATGCAGAATCCGCCAGTCCTGTCAGCCCCAGAACCGGAAGAAAAGTTATTTCTATATCTTGGAGTATCTGGTGTCGCGACGAGTGCCGTTCTGATTCGTTGCAAGGAAGGGGTGCAATACCCAGTATTTTATGTAAGCAAAACACTGATGGAGGCAGAAAAAAGATACTCAAAGGCCGAACGGGTGGTACTTGCACTTGTAAATGCAAAAAGAAAGTTAAGGCATTATTTTGAATCCCACCCCATAGCTGTTCTAACAACTTTCCCAATCAGAACGCTCATGCACAAGCCAGAGCTCTCGGGCAGAATGACAAAGTGGGCCATAGAGTTGAGTTCATTTGACATAACGTACGAGCCGAGAACAGCTATTAAAGGGCAAGCGGTGGCCGATTTCCTACTAGAATGTGATGCCGAAGATACGGAAGAGGACCTTAGAAGCGGCTCTTGGAAACTTTTTGTGGATGGCTCCTCTAACCAGACGGGGGCTGGGATTGGGATCAAACTGCAAACCCCAGAGGGTACTTCCTTGAGCCAAGCACTCAGACTTGAGTTCCGAGCCACCAATAATGAAGCGGAATACGAGGCGTTGCTAAATGGATTAAAGTTGGCCAAAGAGCTACAGATCAAAAGTTTGACAGTGTATAGTGACTCGCAGCTGATTGTTCGGCAGGTAAATGGTGAGTACGCAACCAAGGATGACATGATGGGGGCATACCGTTCTGCCGTTCTGCGTAGAGCCAAGGACTTTACAAAGATTGAATTCATACAGTTGCCGAGGGAACAGAATGCAGATGCAGACCGTTTAGCATGCAGTGCTTCAAGTTGCGGTGAAACATTGGCGAGGGTGATTCCAGCGGGAATAGTGACCCAGCCGTCCATTTTCGAAGAACCGATGGTCTCGGACCCTTGGCAAGTCAACGTCATACCGTATGAACCGAGTTGGATTGACCCAATCATTACCTATATTCGAGATGGCATTTTGCCTATGCAAAGGGATGAAGCTAGGAAACTCAAAAAGAATGCTGCCAAGTACGCCATCGTGCGGAACCAGCTGTACAGAAGGTCCTATTCTGGCCCGTACTTGAAATGTGTCACCCCCGCGGAATCGCAGCAGGTATTGCGAGCTATTCATGAGGGTGTGTGTGGCAATCATTCTGGGGGAAGATCGTTAGCGCATAAAGCAATGACACAAGGGTATTTTTGGCCAAACATGTCAAGAGATGCGGAGGAGTTCTCTCGAAGGTGCGATAAGTGCCAACGATATGGACCAATGATCCACCAACCACCTGAAGAATTGCACGTAATGGCCTCGCCGTGGCCTTTCGCGCAATGGGGGATGGATGTGGTCGGTCCTCTGCCAACTGCAAGAGCTCAGAACAAGTATGTGTTACTGGCCACGGATTATTTCACTAAATGGGTGGAGGCAGAACCGTATCCTAGCGTGACTCAGACTCAGGTGAGACGATTTATCTGGAACAACATTATCTGCCGCTTCGGTGTTCCCAGAACAATAGTCATGGACAATGGCACAAACCTCGACAGCAGGCAAGTAAGAAAGCTGCTGGAGGAGTATGGAATCAACCAGAAGTTGGCTGCAGTAAGTCATCCTCAGGCTAACGGACAAGCAGAAATCACAAACAGAACCATTTTCGCCTGCATTAAGAAGAAGCTGGAAGATCATAAGGGGAAGTGGTTGGATGAACTCCCGAACGTTCTATGGGCTTACAGAACCACCCCAAGGCGGCCGACTGGGGAGAGCCCGTTCGCGATGGCGTATGGTACCGAAGCAGTTATACCGGTTGAGCATTTAGTCCCCACTATCAGAAGCTTAGCATGGAGTCGAGATCAGAACGACAAGATGTTAAGATTGAACCTCGACATGATAGACGAAAGGAGGGACGCAGCGGCTATAAGGCTAGCATCGTATCAGCAAGTGCTGGCGAATAGTCACAATAAGAGAGTAAAACACAGGGATTTTGCCCCGGGCGATCTGGTTCTGAAAAGAAAGGTGGGGATGGTCAAAAAAATGATGCCACCCTGGGAAGGCCCATACAGAATTGCAGAAGTCATTGGCAAAGGGGCATATACGTTGGAAACCATGGCGGGAAAGTTGGTCAGCAAGCCCTGGAACGCCACGTCTCTGAAGAGGTACTATCAATAGAAGCTAAGTTCTGGTTTTAATTGGATGTTATTTGTTGTTAATCAAATACATATGAATGAGCAAGTTACCGGAATTTACAAAAAAGAAGAGAAGAATTTTCTTTTCCAATGGTCTACTATGAAAATTTAGAGCCAAGTGGCAAGTGGCATTCTAGCCGAGCGCCAGGCACTTAAGCAAGATAAGTGGCAGCTGGCACTATAAGCCGAACGCCAGACACTTGCTAAAAATTTAAAGCCAAGTGGCAAGTGGCATTCTAGCCGAGCGCCAGGCACTTAAGCAAGATAAGTGGCAGCTGGCACTATAAGCCGAACGCCAGACACTTGCTAAAAATTTAAAGCCAAGTGGCAAGTGGCATTCTAGCCGAGCGCCAGGCACTTAAGCAAGATAAGTGGCAGCTGGCACTATAAGCCGAACGCCAGACACTTGCTAAAAATTTAAAGCCAAGTGGCAAGTGGCATTCTAGCCGAGCGCCAGGCACTTAAGCAAGATAAGTGGCAGCTGGCACTATAAGCCGAACGCCAGACACTTGCTAAAAATTTAAAGCCAAGTGGCAAGTGGCATTCTAGCCGAGCGCCAGGCACTTAAGCAAGATAAGTGGCAGCTGGCACTATAAGCCGAACGCCAGACACTTGCTAAAAATTTAAAGCCAAGTGGCAAGTGGCATTCTAGCCGAGCGCCAGGCACTTAAGCAAGATAAGTGGCAGCTGGCACTATAAGCCGAACGCCAGACACTTGCTAAAAATTTAAAGCCAAGTGGCAAGTGGCATTCTAGCCGAGCGCCAGGCACTTGCCGTACAAACACACAGCAAAACTAATGTAAAAAGAAAAAGAGAGAAAAGATATATATGTACTGAAGATAAGCTGAACAGAGCACAACACATAGAGAAAAAGAGTTCGGCCATTTCATTAATATTGAACATTTAGTTTACAAAAGAGAGGTGTCCATCATTACAAGAAGATATGAACTGGAAGAATTCGAAGGAGCCCTAGCTAGACGCCTCAGTACCAACAGCATCCTGGTCCTGCCGACTCGCCTCCTCGGCCCCATCAGCCACCTCACCTTCATGAGGTGGGGAATCCAGGTGAATAACTGAGTCGTTCGGCTGGGGTTCAGCGTCAGCAGTGGCTACAGAGGGAGCCACGGTTGACGAATGGGGAGCGGTCAGTGGCAGAGCGGTAGGAGGAGCTGTGATGATCCTTGAGGATGCGATGTCCTGGCACTCATCAAATATACGCTCCGCTTCGGTGGGTTCTGGGTCGACATAGACCCCCAGAGGCTCGATCCCCAGATCCTTGTCTACCTCATCCGGAGTGGAGCTGGTCTGTCCCTCATCCGGAACCCGGTCGGCGAAGCCTTCCCGGAATCCTTGAGCATACCGAAGAGCACCGACCCTGGAGAACCGAGCATGAAGGGCCAGCATCCCACCACCCACTCTGCTGATAGCGTCGATCAGAGCGGTACGCTCGTCCAGAGCTCTTTTTTCAAAAGCCATCCGAGCAGACTGTTCATCAGCTAGAAGACGTTGGAGTTCTGCCTTCTCTTCTCTGAGTGATTCCTGCTCAGTCTGCCAGACGCTCTTCTCGAGCTGGAGGGCGTCCTTCTCATCCTGAAGGGAATCATTCTCCTTTTTCAGGACATCTCTCTCTTGCTCGGCTTTGTCAAGCCGAACCAGCACCTCGGTATTCTTCATGGCAAGGAGGTCGTTCTCTTTATTAGCCACCTCCAGGCTGTCAGAATACTTTCGGGCCCTGGCGTTCCCCATTTCCACCTGCTTCTGCATGGCCATCATCCCAAACAATGTCTGCATAGGTGCACAATAAGAACGGTTAAACCAATAGTCAGAACGGGAGAAGGCAAGACCAAGTAATATAAGAGAATTCATGAGTTAGAAAATAAAAGTCACCTCCATAGCAGATTGGGGAAAGCGACTGAACACGTCCTTCTGGGAAAGGCCCTTTGCCGCCTCAATGTCCTTCGGAGTCCACATGCTCCTGTAGTAGGCCATAGCGGTCTGGCCATCCTTCAGCATGGTCTCGTTCGGTTTCACGAACGTCCCATCCGTTCGAGTGTACCGAGGGGCCCATGGCGGCAAGCTGGGGATAGAAGGGGGGCCTGAAGCAGAAGCAGAGCCACCAGCTGCAGGAGGCCCAGAGTGAGAAGGAGCTCTGATCGCTCGGTGCAAGAGAGTACCCGGCCCAGAGACTCGGGTCCTTCTAATAAGAGGCTCCTCCTCAGGGTCGATCTCACTGTCAGGATGAGGCCTTTTGCCTCGCTCTTTGTCCCGACCGCCCCCCGCAGCAGCAGGAGCTATGGTAGCTGGGGAGGGCGCGTTCTGGTTGGCCGCAGGGGCGCTGGCAGCAGGGTTAGTAGCCACTGCGCTCGGGACAGTGTCAGATATGGTGGCTGAAGAAGAAGCCGACGCTGGAGAGGAGGTCGCCCCAGCAGCAGGAATGACTGGGGGAGTATTTTTCCTCCTGCCAAAAGAGGGAATCTGCAGTCTGCTCATATTGTAGCCGAGTGATGAGAGCGCAAAGAGGTTGTCTGAAGTGAGGAGATCTGAGCAGGAAGGAATATCGTTCAGAACGTATCTCTTCAAGTAGTTAATCCTATCCCTGCAAACACTGTAGCTCAAGTCATCACAAGGTATTCCCAGGGAGCGGCATAAGTAAGTGCAAAAACGAGGAACGCATGTTTCACAGGGGCAGTCGTGTTTATGGGATTTGAATTTTTTATAGGAAGAGACAGAGCAGACACCAAAGGCGCTCGGGATTGGGTAATCCTCTGCAGCCGGCGAAGACCAAGCCCCACTAATACCCACTATGCTATCCCTCCAACCCTTTTCAGATTTTATTGTGTCAGTGCATATGGACATCTTCTCGAACGGGTAGAGGTGGTAGAAGGGCTCGTTAGTACGGATCTTACTGACCTTATAGCACAGAAGGAGGTCTATGAGGTCAAGGTCCAGATTTCTGTCACGCATCAATAAGAGCATAACAGATATGATCCTAAAGAAGTTGGGGTTGGCCTGCAGAGGGGATATCCCCAATCTGTTGAAGACGTAACTAAAGAAAGGGTGCAGAGGGAACCTAACAACATTCAGTTGAAGGTTTGTGAATAAGACTTCGCCGGGCAGGAGGCCGGCGCCGGTCGTAATATTAACGTCTTGGGGGCAAACCCTAACTACGATGTTGTCAGGAAGTCTAAGTCTCATACGAAGAACACCCAGATCTACAACCATGGTGGAGGTGCAAGAAGAATCTAAAAGAGGGAAAATGGAAGCCTGCCGAAAGTAAAAAGAACGAAACTAACCTCGGAGGACTGCAAGATCGCTGGGAGAATGACTCTCGAAGGATTTCACCGGAAAGGGCTTAGCACAGTTCTAGAAAGAGGGAGATTTGGCTGATGATGGAGACGGTAAAGGGAAGTGAAGTGGAATTCGAGAGCATTATATAGGCAAGGGGGCCCGAGGGCCGAAGCGTCGGGAAGGCAAGAAATCCCTCGAACCCCGGAACATTGATTCTGGATCTGACCGTTCGCTCCCCCACGTGGTTACCTCGAGCCGTCAGCGTCATGATGAGACGCCATCAATAATTACCCCTTATTAAATAAGGGGCAATTATGGGGGCAGTTGAGGAGGCCCTGGATGACATGGGCCAGGTCCGACTCGCGAAACACAACCTTCAGTCCGAACAGCTGGGTCAGCCCATAAAAAGACACTGCCATATGGGCCGAGCGGGAGAAAGCCCATTAAGAGTGACCAGGGCTTACTGAGGAAAAGGCCCAGGTCCAGCAATTAGTAAATATCTTGTAAATATCTTGTAAATATCTGGTAAGTATCTATAAATAGGAGTTGGAATGAGGAGGAGGGGGATCTTGATTCGGGTTGAGGTGTAAGAATTCTAGAGAGAGAAAGAATAGAAGGAGTTTCTTGCATCTTCATGCATATTATTTCCTACGAGGAAAATATTATAGAACAACTAGAAGAGTTTTTTTTCCAGTTAAAGTGCTAAGTTATTTGTTCCAGTTGAAAATTCAAGTGTGTAAGCTTATAACTCCTTGAATGGATTAAAGCTACTACCGAGACAATGACATAAATGTAATGCATAAGTCATTGTATGCCTTAAAATATAAATGATATACTGATTGGTATATTTGATATGAAAGATTTAACATCTGATAATATAGTATATTCTCAATAGAGTGAGACTGAGATAATACTAGTTATGATAACAAAAGCCTAACTAACTTTTGTAGATGTAAATCTCAAATATAAATACTAGTCAAAGTATATCATTGGTTGGGATTGCAAGACATCTTAATAACTGTGTTTAATTGTACATTTTCAATTCAGGATCGGATCACTGAAAAATAATAAATTGGGTAGTTGAGATTCACCCTAAATCCAATATTGCATAGATCGAGGTATCTAACTAAATTGGAGGTGTAACAGTGATGCAATTTGGAAATGGGATATTAAAAACTTCAAGTCCAAGAGTGGATATGTCTTTTATATTAAAGGTGTAGTTATATATTCTTAATATAACTCAAAGTTAGAAACTTTGAATAAATCAAATAGGAAAGTCAATAGACTTCACCTAGAGGACATTTCAATGTAAGTCTACACCTGTGCCACTAAAGAAAATGATATTGCTAACAATAAGCAATTTTATGGCATAAAGTATATAGTTGCTCTCACCTGGAGAAATCTCTGCAGAGTGTAATATTTCTAAACACAACCTTGTGGCCACATATAAAATTGAGGGTTGTACTAGAGAGCAATTATACAGATCATCGAGGGGAATGGGATTAAAAGTCGAAAGCTAACGAGTCACCTTAATGGAAACCCAACCTAGTTGACTGGAGATCCCAAGATCTAGGTTCAAAGGGACAACAGAAATTCTGAGTGACTCACCAGAAGCACTGGGAAGATATAAATCTTCTGCCCATTTCTATGATGAGACAGTGCTACCTACAACGATGATTAGGATAAACTACGCTTTTAATGACTCTTATACCTTGAAAATTCAAGTAGGGTATGGTAGGATACTTTTAATAAGAAGTCACTTATATGAGTGTGAAGTGGGGTCGCTTCTATGAGAATTATAAAGGCTAAGTTTTCTGGAGCACTCATTGAATACCAGGACTTGTTCAGGGCCAAAATGAACACAACAATGAGAACCAACTTTGTGAGGAAAGGTACTGTGTGTTTGTTATTGTCTTGGTTTACACAAACGGTTGAACAGTTCAAGACAGCGCATTCACTGGTTAGCTAGTAAATCCGATAGCAATACACTAGGGAAGGTTCAAAGCCAAAAGCCACCTATCCTGATGCAGTAACTTTCCGACTTTACTCTCTCTAGTGTCTGCATGATCATCTTTTGTATTTTACGCAAATTTCCATTCATGTGGGGGATTGTTGGAAATAGGGGCATTAAAAACATAAACTTTGGATGAGATTTGGAATAGATTCCGCTAATAATTTTTTGCGGATATCTAGACAAGCGCATTTCTCTCCATAAGGAGATGAACGTGGTATATTTACTTTCTCAAATCCGTTTCCGGGTGAATGAGAAATTAGCTCCAAAATGTGGTGTTTTGATAAGTTTAAATGGGTATGCAAAATGTGGGAAGTGTTTGTCCCACATGAAAAAAATGTTGAAACAAATTGAAATTTAAATAAGCTGAGTTTAGGATTTGGGCTTGGGCTTGGGCCTAATTGTAAAGTCCAGATTATTCTTTTTTGGAATTTTGGATTGGGCCTAATTTTAGGCTGGGCTTATTTAAATGGATTATTCTTCTATTTCCCTCTCTAGACTTGAACCCAACCCAAGTGGGTTCAAACCATAGGTTAAGTGGTCCGAACCACTTAGACCCTAATCCAATTTCATCGAACCATATTAAGATTGGTCCGAACCATTTGATTCGAATTACACCCAATTCAGTATTTATATAGCATAGATGCATTTTTGAGTCAGAGAGAGTATTACACGGAGAAGGTTCGCCGTATCCACGAGTTTGTAGTGCTGCTACTGGTGGATGCAGACCGTTGTATCTTGGGAGATAGACGCCACTGAGTCCGTTAGCACCATAGCGGGGCGAATCTGTCTTAAGGACATAGTATCCAATACTAGCCTCGGTCCAGAATCTTTATTTATAATTATTATTTCATAAATTTATTTTGCATATTTAATTAAATATAGAGTTGCATATTTAATTAATGATTTCTTAGCATATTGTTAATTGTCTCATGACATACTAGTATAAGGTTTGTTATATCTTAAATGTCACATGAAGCATATATTTTACCATCATATAGTAATTTTAGAACTTAAACAGAAATTTATTTACGACATATATAGTTAAACGTGTATAAACAAGTTACACGGGTTGAACCCCTCAATCCAAATACGACACGATTCACTAAACGGGTTAATCGAGTCAACCCAATTAAGACCCGAACCCGTTTAAGGTCAACCCAAACCTATTTAACTTGTGTCGTCTTCGAGTCGTGTTGGTGGGTCGTGTCAACTTTTGCCACCCCTATTGGGGACTGTATAATTTTCCTTGTAATTCCGATGCATTGGCTCACGCTCTCTAACTAACTAAACAGCCCCTAACCTAAACATACACAACCCATGCACCCTGGTCACACACACATTAACCCATTTTATTTGGGTTTTACATTTTGAGATGGTAGGCTAATCCAAATTCTATTTGGGTTGTGGTTTGGAATATTTCTGGATTGACCCAGATCATTTTAACCCACACAACTTCAAGCCCAATAAGCCCACTCCAGATCATTTTTTTTTTTGTTTTTTTTTCAAGGTGGCTTGGTGAGTTAACACATCTGTTTATGCTGTGAGTCAAAATTTGGGAGGTGAACTAACAAGAGCTCCCACACTTGGGTCAACCACATCTCATCAAACTCACATTTGTCCTACAAAATCTTTAGAATCTTCAACATTTGTTCCCTATATATAATACCCACAAGTCCATGTTTTTCTTAAACAAAAAGATAACTTGGCTGCTTAAATTACTATCAATCTATGGCTGCTTCTAAGCATTCTTTTATTCTATGTTTGATTCTAGCATTAACACTTTCAAGCATCCATTTGAGTCTCGCGGCGCGCAACCTCTTGCAAAGCTCTCCAACTGCAACACCTACACTGCCTACAATGCCGCCAGTACCACCTCTGCCTAAAGCAACATTGCCTCCATTGCCTGCCATGCCAGCACTGCCTAAAACCACATTGCCACCGTTACCAAGTACTTCACTACCAACCATGCCTACCCTGCCTAAGACCACATTACCGCCATTGCCAAGCAACACGCTACCAACATTGCCAACCATGCCCACTGTTCCAAAGGTGACACTGCCTCTACTGCCAGCTACTTCACTGCCAAATATGCCAACCATTCCAACGACAATTCCTTCAATTACGACCATCCCACCAACAATGCCAACAATTCCATTCCTCTCACCACCTCCATCTACTACTAGCCCATGAGATGCTACAACTCTGTTCAACCTTCTCCCAAATTGAGCATTGTATTTTGGTAGTGAGCCCATATACATATGTATCTGTTGTCTCGTGTGTGAGGTTTTCCTTTTATTGATTTGTGGAGTCATTTTTGTATTATTTTACATGAAATTGTTGTGTATTGTTGCTCAATATGAATGTAATTCCTTCTGTTTTGGTTTAATATTATTCCCTGAAGATCTACAGACGATTCTTTTCTATTCATGTTTAACCTAAAATTAAAGGAAGAAAAGCATACAACTGTGTGTGTGGGCGTAATCAGATTCATGACAACAGTTGTGCT